GGAAAGCTCTCTTCGCAAAATAAGGAGATTGTCCCCACCAAGTTTCGAATGGAGTTTGGGTGATGCTGGCTGACCGTCACGCCGAAGTGGTTCAAGACTTCGACAAGGAGGGGATGGAAAGGCAATCGAAGCCTCGCGGCGAGCTGCTCCCGGAATATCACGATCTCATCAGGACCGTGTTCCCAAGGAAAGCTACCAGAAGGTATGAAATAAGCGTACTCCCCGGGCAAGTTATAGTAGGTAATGAGGAATTGGAGCCCCTCGGGCGTCATGGTCGAAGGGCCAAACTTGTCTAACATCCGACCCCGACGAGAGGTGGACGCCAAACTACCCGAAGCGCCTCGGCCTACGAGTTCGAACTCTTCCTCGAGCTCTACCTCCGGGTAGCTTTCCTTGGGAACACGGTTCGTAGAACCTGCATCAGACCCGCTGGAAGGACTATCTGAGCTATCCAAGCTAGACATCGGGGAGTAAGATGGATTCCAGGAAAGTATTCACCCGAAAAAAGGCTGTAGACCATAGGAGCTCGGACGAGCAAAAGACCTTGAACGTGAACTGAAAGAACCTAGACGCGAACTGGATGCGAGCTGAAACTCGGACGCGAGCTCGAGAGAAATACAGAAGTGACAGCGACTGGGGTCCCCCCCCGCTATTTATACTCAGTGATCGAAAAGCGACGACTTAGATCAAAGCCAATCTGACGGCCCACAGCCGCACTGAATCCACGTCCCCTGAGACCGAGACGTGATTGGCGCACGTCTTTCTGAAATTGATAGAGCGCTGGCGCACGTCTTTCTGAAACTGATAGAGCACTGACGCACGTCTTTTCGAAACTGACGGAACGCCAGCACACGTCTCCTCAATAAAAGCGGCAGCAGCATGTTTTTTCAAAATTTGAAAAGACGCCTGCTATCGCGCCTCCCAAGTGGCACGCTTTTTTGAAATTTTGAAATAAAGCGCGCGTCGTCGAATCTATCAGCGTTTAGGCAGGTCGGCACGTTTCCCGCCTTTTGGGCGCTCGAAGAAACCCAAGGAACCCTGACAACGCACCTCGTGCCATCAGAACCAAGATTCAAAGTACAAGGCAAATCTACCTGACACTTTGCGAACTCCCCGCGCCAGGGCAAGACCCTTAGCGCGAGGAGTGGGGGGCAATTGATGAAGGAAGATTTGGCCC